TTGCCTCTGAAGCTTAAGTCATCACCTCGTCTTTGTCTTTTTAGCATTCTTGATACATTACGTTTCACAGAAAATGTTAATAGGTTACTTTCTACCACAATACATGTAGCTAGTAGTGTGCTGGGTCATTCTACATATCTAAATTATTTGTTCGCTACGCGCATCAACAGTAGTGAGCTCTTGTTCCGTCCTGATTCATTTCACTGGCCAGTACTCCTATTTGTTTAACTGTTACTTCCCTCGACATCTTTCATATTTAAACGTCACACAACATGTTTCCAGAAAATACATTTTTCTGAAGGTTTTGTCACTTGACAACAATTCCCTATTCCCAAACTGTTATTAATATATACCATCCATGAAAGAATTATTTTCACATTAGTAACTCTGTTGGATCATCTTGAGGAACATTTGCTTCAATAAAGCCTATAAAGATTTTACATTTATCTTTCTATTAAAAACGGAGCAGTATAATCCAACAGAAATCCTGAATGCTATTCCCTAAAATAACACTCATACAAAGATGGCTGTGTTCTGGGTTGTTGCGCCGTGTAGTCCGGTAGATGTTTACAGATATCGCCCTGATGATGGAGGCAGCAAGGACCTCTGAAACGTCGGTAAAGTTCTACCAGACTACACGGCGCAATAAGCCAGAAGACAGCCATCTTCAGACTCACCGCCGTAAAAACCTCAAATCCTAAGCACTCAGCCATCTATAAACCGAATGAAACTGTCACATACAATAAAATATAGCCCAATTTAAAAAAATACTGAATAATTGAAACAAAACGAATAATTGCTTATATTATTTGTATTTCCTGGTATGTATGCAGACATAAAATAAAAGTTATTAAAACTCTATAGCAGATGAACTGATTTTTTTACAGTATAGTAAAATTTCAGGGATTCTAAAGTGAAAATAAATTAACTTGTAACATATTTTATGAAAATATGTAGCCTATAATTGAAAAGCATAACGAAGTGTAAAGGATAAAATTAATGCAGTTTATGCATGGCGGGTGCACACAGCTTCACAATAATACATGATTTAATGAGCCCACAGGTACCGAACGCTGTTTTAATGTGGTGGCATATGGAAGCGCTTAGTTAATCGACTGAACTAACGTGCGTAGGAACTAGTGATTCCATGATATGGAAGGAGCTGCTTTCGTAGGCATAATGCAGTACAGACAACGGGTTCGCGCGTAAATAATTAGGAATTCAAAATTTCTACAGAAGCGCAACGAAGGTCGATAAATGCATTTCAAAAATTCTGAAGAAGGAAAAAGAAGGCCGATAAATGCATTTCAACGTTGTGTTTGTGTCGACTGATCATGAACAGAAGAAAATTGGTCGGAAGCATCTGCCATATCGGCATGTCTCTCCATCCGATCTGTCTGCTCTAACAACGCGGCGGATTTCAATGAAACTCAGCAGCCATACAATGCAATGGCATGAAAACAATTTTTTAATGAAGTCAATTAAATTCGAGAAAATCAGTACTATCGCCCCATAACAATACTTGCGTACGCCATCGAAAACGCTGTCGAAGCTCCTCCAATTTCTCTAGCCATCCACTCGATATCCATTCGATTTACAAGGTACAGCCACTTTTCCCCATACACATTACGTTGACAGCAGAGAAACGTCCTAAGTAAACGAAATGCACCCTTTTAATAACGCCATCACCTCTGCATTTACAATTTTATGTTCGTATACGACAGAAATATTTATCCTCATGTTTGTAAGATCAATTTTATTGTACTAACTTAAGAATATTTTTGGATTTTCATAGCGAAATTATTTAAGCAATATACTAGATAATTACCAGCGTTTTATTATTCAAAATCTGAAAGACACTAATAGACTGGCAACCATGAGCATGCACTAAGAAAACAGCTGATAAAGAATCTGAAGAATTTATTAATAACTGCTGATAAAATTATGGATTACAACTTGGTCTAAATTCGATCCACTCGCCGTCAAAACTCGTGTGTAGCAGCAGCTGATACTTTCCCACGATTCATATGCCCCCTTTTCTCTCTCTCTCTTCTTCTTCTTCTTCTTCTTTTTTTTTGCTGCACTAACTTTGCCAAAACAAAAAAACTGCTGTTGTCTTTGCAGCATCCGCGCCATCCTGCCGGATGAGAGAGAATCATTAAAAGTAGCAACATTTGCTTCAGCTAGAACAGTGTTCTGATCGATACAAGAGGAATTTAAGTTTTTGTAAGTACTTAAGTAACTATTTATCCATGAAACGAATAAAATAACTATGTGACAATAAATGTCAAGTGTACGCAGCGTTGACATAAATGACCTCTACTGGAAATCGCATTTCGAAAATTCCACCCACCTTCTACCCTCACGACGTCTTTATACGATAAACTTAAAACATTATTTCCCACCTACTTCTTGGTCTTCCAAGTGTCCATTTTCCATTAGGTTTCTCCACTAAAATTAAAAATATATTTGCCTATATTATAGCAAAATCGGAAAGCAGTGGGGATAAAAATATTTTTAGCTTACCTGAATGAAAATGGAAATGCGTAATTTGGAATTGGTATGCAGGGTCAGAATTTAATAATTACGCCCTATGTAAGCAAAGTTTTACTGTTGCCGAAAATTATTACTAGGGGAGAGGTGTATTGCGCGCATCTAACTTTAAGCTGTTAGGAAAAGACATTTATTAAGCTTTTAAAATTTGACAGCAAAGGTTCAAGAAGAGAATTTAACCGTTGTTATCATGGTATAAGTAACAAAGTCAAATATCTACTACAAAAAATATTATTTTTGAAAGAAAAAAAAGACATGCAAAACAGGCTACGTAAGCCTGGAAGTACAAAAGACAGCCATTCTCGAAACGGGACAAATCTCGTGAATGATATTAGACATAGTACTTCAATATTTTCAAATGTATTTCACAGAAGCTACTCAGTAATAAGCTTTAGGGATAATATGCGACCTTAAACCACGGATATTCTACTGGGTAGTACAAAAATAAAAAAAATTAATAACTATTTACATATGAAGTTTGTTTTATATTTTAAAATGTGAACAGCCTCTGAGCCCAATGACAGAGTAACTGTGAATGATGAGTTCGAAGGAAGCAGTTGTGACATATTTAATGTTAGTAATACCTGGAAAACCGCAAAAATTCCATTAAGATAATTGGATTTAGAAGCAGAGAATCGAACATAGGTCCTCTCGATTACAAATACCACTCAATCAGTGTGGACGGATTCATCTAATGGCAAGAATTATTCAGAAATGACTTTTCTATATTTTAAAATTTAAAAATACTATAAAAACATTCTATATTGCTTCAAAGATACTATACGATGAAACTTGGGGACTATTTTTGATATTTCAATCCTTTTACCTTGAGGCTGAAAGTTATAAGCAGCAACATGATCATCTCCAAAATTCACATCGACCACGTGAGTCCTATGACGTCAAAACCACTTTTCTTCTACTATGATTACCCCATCACTTCCTCCACCTCTCTGCCACGGTGTCACTCCAATTTATGCTATTGATTTCCCACCCCTAGCGAGCAACCAGCCAGTCGAACGCACGCACGAAAACTAGGCATACCCCACGACGACCTCTCTGCGTCTACCTTCAAGTCTTGAGGGCAAAACCAGTTTGCTGCCGTCTGCCAAAGCCTGAAGATCTAAACAATGACGTAATAAAACAATATCCCTTCAAAGTCCCTTTATTTGTTAAGGAGAGATATAGACCTACTGTTAACAACGCGTTTGAATTTCCGTCGTTTTAGGGTTCTTTAAGGACAATTACTTTTTACAAGTAGAATTTCCTTGGAATTGGTACCACATAACCAAAGAGTTACACAAATGTGACATCACTGTAAACCGCTTTAACACGTTCAGACTTTGAACGAACAGCGCTGATCGGAACAGTGAAACGAAGAGGAGAATAAGAAGATAAGACAGGAGAAAAGAGGAAGTACAGAACACGAAGTCAGAAGAGAAGATAAACTAGGAAAAAGGAAAAAGACCAAGATATAAGAAAAATCGGTTTACGTCGTCTCCAAGATTGTGTTTTTTCACAAAACTAATTTCTTCCTGTCGACTTCGACTCTGACAGACATGGGAATTCGAATGAGCCTCGAGACCATATGTATGAAAAATTTGTTCACCAAAATTCTTGAATCAATTATCAGATTTGACACAGGGATTTCAGCCGATATCGAAAAATCGAATATTTAATATACATTCAAATTAGCGGCATGGGCTATTTCGTAATTTCTTCGTGGCATCAAACTGTTAGCAATTTAAGAGAATTGATAAAACAAAACTCCATCCTTTAAAAAAAATCTTCTTATTGAAAACACTTAAGAAAGCATACAAAGTTTAAGGTTGAATTTAATCAGATACCTGGTAATTTATAGATGCTCTAAACCGATAAAATGATTCGACATCAACGTAAAGTATCAGATATCAATACGGAATTCTACAACAACATAGCCGTCTTCCGTAGACGACAGAAATATGTCGTCTACGGAATGGATGGCCAATCATCCAAACGGCACGTTTTTACCAACCTTAATTTATACGTAAACGAATACTGTACCATTGAATGGAATTAATGAAATACAAAATCCTTTATTTGAAGAGTGCTACGACCACAAATAGCTACATCCATCTCCAACCTACCATCGTGATAACCTACTCACCCATGTTTTGCGCCATGCTCCTGTAAGAGCAGGTAGTTGGGTAACATTAAATTGATTCGGTATCGATCACGTTTGAATAATTTCCTAGAACTGGGAATAAAAAGTGCACTGCAGGGGAGTGATGGGTAGCAAACTGAATGGATAATGTTCTAATCAGTGTAAACGTCCTGCTTTTCCAACTGTTCACGATAATTAGTAGCAGTGGCGGTAGAAATGCTGACGAAAATACTGCTGGATCACAGAAAGGCCGACAGAATGGAAATCGTAACAGAAATAAATGCTCTAGCCAACAGGTAAATGACAAACCTATCCATAAATAGGTATCCAAAGGTTGATTTTTATCATCTGACATTTTAAGATTTGTGTAACGTCTATATTATTGAACGAAACTGTATGCAAATTTCAAATATCGTTGTACACACTTGGAAAATTTATTTTTGCAGCTGAAAACACTGGAATAAATAACAAGATGGGTCAATTACGATGTAACAGAAATTGTTTGTATTTCGAGTGTCCATTCTTCGGGACTGGGAAAAGTGTGGTTACCAGTGTTTCGAAGGAATCTACAGGTATATCAGAAGACCACAATCAACATTTTAACACTTATCATAAACACTGCTAACCACCTACAGAATTACAGGCCTTAACACCCAGACAACCACAGTTTGTAACTTCAATGCCCAGAGAACCTCAAATCCAAGTGATTAAAAAAGTAAAAATGACAATAACTGTCTGACTAAATAAGTAACTACTTCACTAAATGAATGACTGGATGAATAACTAGCTAACGTACGGTAAAACAGCGTTACTAAAATCATGGAACTACATAACTTAACCAAGAGGATATTGTGACAAGGTTTACATTATGGTTTCAAATGCACAGCTCTTAAGTATCAGTCATAAGAAGAATATATATATATATATATATATACACATATGAAAAATAGGTTAATTTACGTCATGTTATAATGTTTAAGTGCACTGACAGAAGGTATTCCATACTAAGTCAAGGACTCGAATTCGAAGCACGTAATAACGTCCACTTAGCAACTGCACTTTTCCTTTTAAAGAGTTCTCATTTACATTTTTAACTTGGCGTGTTTCTCTCTCTGTATTTTCAATACCAGTTTCCTGCTCTCCATGAGAGACAGAAGAAATATTCAAGGCATATACGATATTTTTATTTAGTTTTTGCAGTTAAAATACATTTACGCTAATAACATTAGACATTAAATTTAAAGAGACAGTAAGATGCAAGGTTGTAGTTATATAAAATGTACATTACACGAATTTAAAAATTTATAGATTTTAAGAAACATATACATAATCTACTATCCCAGAATATGCCCGGAGGAGCAGAGAAAAAACCGCGAAAAATATTGGTCCGTATAGCCAGTCTGCGGGCAGCGGTCTGAACTAGGAACCTCTCGAAAATAAGGAATTCTAACAACTGGGCTGCTATGTGAAATCATTTACAAAGTTTAGGTATCATAATTTCATGTACACCTATATATAACTTACCTACATCAAATTGCACAATGCAAGGTTAAACCAGCGTTAAAATACGATAATAAATCATTGAACTGGGTTGACAGAGACAAATGAAGAATAGGTAACACAAATGAGAACTAAGATCGATAATATACGTACATATTGCTACATCCCGGTATAGATGGCATGCCGTACATGTCACGGAAGCTTAAACATTGAGAGCAGGTAAATGGATTTTGATCGAGACCAGTTCAGGTATTGCAACTGTTACATCCGAAAAGATAAGATAAACATTAAAAAAAAATTGTGATTTCGTAAGCCTGAGTACTGCCATAACTCTCCTTCGTTCAGACATATTTAAATTACGTAATGACATTTTAAAATTATATGAACAATGTCAATAATAAAATTGTGTGAACACTGTGATGTGCCTTTGGGCTCCAAAAGTGCAATCAGTTTCTTAGACAAATTATAAACATTTCAAGAAAGCTCCTTCAACATGTAGGCACAATTTTCAAAGAAAAAAGTTTCGGTTTTGAAATATGAAATTCAACAGCAATCACCATACATCCCACATTTATTACTAGCCGCTAAGATACTTGGTAAGTCATCATTAAACAACTCAATTCTCCATCAGCTATAATACATTAAACTGATGCCGGGCATATGCCTATGACAAACAACACAGTGCAACAAAAGTGAATCTCAAATACCAAAATGGATACCGAGTATGATATATTTGGACGGGATTCAGCTCGCTCGAGATTTTGGGCAGTGTTGGCTCCTGTGAACACAGTAGCAAACGTTCAGATTCGATGAGAGGGGTAACTTCTTGAGTAATGAGCGTGTATCAAATTTTTAAGAATTCTGTTTCATTCAACCAGTTAAGTACAATTACGACACCAACATTGTAAACTGCAGAACCAGGCTTGTAACAACATTTGATATCC